AAATTAGACACAAAGTCTAGGCTATCTCATTCTTTTTCTATCCTTTGGCATTTGGTAACCATAATTTTACTATAACCCTCATTCTAAAGAAACTTCTCCTCCTTCACACTTAGTCTCCTCTGTATTTGTTAGCTATGATTGCGGCCACTGCCCTTCTCCCTCCTGGTCCTGGCAGTGGTACTATTTTCAACTGTGGCACTACTCTGGTTTGGGGACCAATCTCCTTACATTTGGGGTATAGCAGGATGGTATGAAGCCCTCTTTGATTTTTCACTGTTGGCTTCACATGGGAGGCTTGGTGTCTCTCATAGCTGCAGAATACTTATGCAATTTTTTTAATTGCCTGGAGCATAGTACATAACCCACAGTGTTCTCTCATTCTCTTGTTCACTCACTCAGCAAATAACTATCAATCCAGGCAATATGCTGGGCATTGGAAGACACAAGTGTGAGCCAAATTATTAACTTGAACCCTAACTTATGGAGCTCATAGTCTAGTAGTCTAGTGGAAGAATCAGGCCTTTGTCAAAGAATCACAAAAGCAAATGTAAAATTGCTCCTGGGACAAGTGCTGCCTGCTGTGAATACTTTATAATAGCTTTCATGAGGAAATGTCACAAGAAGTGAAATGGGAAGCCTGTTCAGACATGAACCAGGAGAAGGAGAAGGCCAAGTGGAACAGGCAGAAGGAACTGCAAGTACAAAACCCCTGTGGTGGGGCAAGGCATAGAGAAGATGTGGAGATAAAAGGTAGTCAGTGTGACCGGTACCAAGGTCAGGTTGAAAATGCGGGTGGGATGAGGACCCAAACTGGGCAGGCCTTGTTAAGTTTACCTTGATCCCAAATGCAGAGAAAGCCAATGAAGGACTTAGCAGGGTATCAAGACTGGCAGCGTGGCATTTTGAAAAGATTACTTTGACTGCAGTAGGGGTGCGGGGTAAGGATATGTGGAGCTTCTCTTTCATAAGCTGTCCACCGAAAAGAAGCCAAACCCCATCCACCGCTGAGTCCTTTAGATCAAGGTATGAGAAACAGCAGCAGGTGGAAGGCGGTCTAAGAAAAGACAAAAGCCTAAAGCAGACTAGAAAAGAGAGCAATCAGTACTTTGCCCACGGGTTGTAGGACCTCATCAAAACATTCTAGGTGGTTTGCTTTATAAACAGGCAGATTTCAAGACCCTACCCCAAAACTTCTGGTCCGAATCTATGGAGGTGGGACCTGGGACTCTGCCTTGGTGTTCTGAGCCACCCATGGCTAAAAATTATGTTGTCTAAGGCAGACAGGTAAGCTGGAAAATGATGAGGCTGAAACTGTTCAGAACCCCATTAACTCTTCAGCATGAGCCCTGAGCAAACAGGAGAAAAGACCCAGAGGACATCTCTTAGATGCTGAGCCAATGCATCTCCCAGTGCCCTGGAGTATGTCACAGGGTCTCTCTGTGGCCTGTTTTCTCACATCTATACCATACTGCCAAAGCGTCCAGCAATTCATAGTACATTCTAAATGAATGCTCTATGTTGATTCCTATCTTTCTTATACACTGTGATATCAAATATTATACCTTAATTTCATTCTGATTGCCAATTGAGACTTGCTCACAACACTTTAAATCAGGGGTCAGCACACTGTAATTCATGTGCCAGATTCCATTGTTCTATGATTTTTGTACGGCCCATAAGCTTAAAAAAAAAAAAGACTATTTCATAACATAATAAAATTCTATGAAATTTAAATTTAGTGTTCACAAATGCAGTTTCACTGGAACACACAGCTATGCTTATTTATTTATTTATCTATGGCTGGTCTTGCTCCAGACATACCCTAGAAAGGCAAAATTGAGTAATTGTGATTGAGACCATATGGCCCACAAAGCCTAAAATATTTACTATAATTTTTTAAAGACAAAGTTTCTGAGTTATGCTTTAAATTAACCTCTCAGCCTGTTTGGTCAAATTGCTAATAAATTACCAAGCTCCTGTGAAGCAAATAATTAATTTGTAATGCAAATAATTGCCCCATAATTTAAATCCTTCAGAAGCTTGACTTTTCGCACTGAATTTTCTTGAAGCTAGACATGCCCTCATCTGTATGTACTATGACTAACTTACTGTTATTTGGGTAAATCAGAAAATGTACAACTTCATAGAGGATGTAACGTAATTATCAGTCCACTGTATATTGCCTACACTTCTCTAGCGGTCATAAGGCAAAACCTAGCGGAGTCTCTGCTTCAATTCTAATTGATTTATCTGAAAAAGAATTAATTACTTTTGGCTTGAAACCCACTCTGGGTTAATATTATACATGTGAATGATAATATTGTATGAATATGCAAAATGCTTTTGGAAACAGTAAAACTCAGATAATTCACGCCAATGACAAGGGGGCCCAGTACAGATTAGCACATTTCTTGGGAGGGAGGATTAATTGAGGGGAAAAAAAAAGATGTAAGTTTACAGAATCACCCTGTAAACTGTGCCCAGATACACAGGCACTGTTGACAAGAGTCTATCAGTAGATACCATAACATAATTGGTAAACATAATGGGAACTGCACTTGCAGGAGACCTCATTACATCTCTTGGCTATGGCATCTTGGTGGGGAAGCGGGGTGAGACTGCTGGGTCTTCGGTGAGAAGTACTGAGTTTGTGGATTATTAAAGAGGTGAGAATCAGTAAATAAGTGGGGTTAGGCTGCACAGCACTTTTCCAAATTCATTCTGTCCTTGATGTTTAGAAAGATAGAGACATTCATTCCCAGATTCGACTAGAGCTCAGGAAATAGCTCCTTAAATATAATTGTTATTTGGGTTGGTTTTGATTTTTTTGGTACCAGATACTACTCCTTATAGAAGTAGAATCTTTTAAAGGAGAAAAATTAGACGGGAGGAGAAACAAAACAGACTGCTAATAAATAACCTTTGGATGTCACGTTCCCAAGCTTTCCCAGCTCTTAACAGGCCATTGAGAGAGCAGAGAAATTTCAAGCCCAGAGAGAAAGGAAATTAAAATTACTTCCTCTACTATGGGCCAGGCCTGGGCATTCTGTCAATAATACAGTAATCAACTTTTTTTTTTTTTAATTTCTACTCCTCAACCTATACCTTTTTTTCTAATCAATTACTTGTTTATTCCTTGACCATCAATTTCGCAAAATTTACTGAGCTTGTGAGAAGCACCAGTTAACATCTCTGGCAGTTCTACAGAAAGCTGTAAGCAGTGGTGCCTGCTGTACTAGTCAGGGTAGGAGAGATGCTGTCGCACATAATGCCAGTATCTCATTGAATTAACATATTGTAATGTGAGTTAACTTCTTGCTCCTTTAACTTCTCAGTGTGAAAATTGGGTCCCAGTCCCCTGCCTTGAAGCAGCTTCTTGGGTGGAGAAGGAGCAAAGAGATTGGAATTGGTGATGAAGGTCAAGGGCCATATTTGGCCACTATGTTCCAAGAATCACCCTCTTTCAGATTTCTGGCTTATTAGGCCTAATAAACTCCATGTTCCTTTTTAAGGAAGCTGCTGAAAAGATATATCAAATAGCTTCATCCTGGCTCAAGCACTTAGTGACTTGACTTCCACATTGCCCTACTGACTCTAATGGTCTATCCAATTACACACCTTAACGAACTGGAGTCTCAACTATCTCAAAATAAACTTTATACTGTAATGGGGATTCTATTTCATAAAAAGCTAAGCCAATACGTTTAAAACTTACACTCAGTGCAGTTAAAGAATTGACTCAATTATCTATGCAAAAAGGCATGTCATGCAGGATTGATGACCTCATTAGGTTATTGTTAGAGGCTAAAGACCAAAGTATGTGAGTGGACCCAAAAATAACAGAATTACCTTCTGGATGGCGGGCCCCCTGTCGTACAGGCTTCTGCTGCTAGGTGAGTGCTCTAGGAACCCACCTGTATCAGCTGCTGTTGTGAGAGGCTGTGTCGTTGTGAGCTGGCAGTGTTGTGGGAGGCTGAGTGTGGCTTCAATGAATTTCTTTTTGAAGACTCTTTCAATGCATTTGCCTGTTTCATGATGGGTGATTTATCAGTGCACCTGCCCACACCGTGCTGAGTGTTCAGCGGGTATTTTTGTGGTTTTTTTAAAAAATTTTCTTTATTTTTTTATTGTTTAAGTACAGTTGTCTCCATTTTCCCACCACCACTTTCCCCTGCCCCACCCACGCCCACCTTCCTCATTCAACAGTTCTTGACCAAAAACACATGTACCCCCGTGCCCCACCCTCCCTATTCACCTGATCTTGTCCCAAGCAACTTTTTGTTTGTTTGTTTCTGCAGATGGAAAGACTTCAAAGGGAAACGTTTTGCTGATGTGAAAGAGGTAAAACAAAAAACAGCAGCAGGAGCCCTAAAAGGCATTAAAATCAATGAGTTCAAAAACTGTTTTGAGCAGTGGAATAAATGTCTCGATAGGTGTATTGTATCAAATGGAGAGTAAGTCTGTGAAGGTGGCTGAAGTTTAAACATGTCAGAATACACAATTTTTTATAAATAAATTCTGGTTTTTATGGGGCCCTCCCTTGTACGCAACAAAGATGCCCCCCAATGGACAGCAACCCCAGCCTTCCTTCCCTGTGCAGCCCTCTCAGAGACTGAATCTGGGCTGGGCCTGTGATGCCCTTCAACTGTAGAATGCAGGGGAAATGATGCCAGAAGAGTTCTAAGCCCTCAGCCTAGAAGAAGGCCTAATAAATAGCCTTGAGCCACAACGTAAGTAAGATGTCCAGCTACTTTGCTGGAGCGACCACAGGGAGGAGAGACCAGCTGAAGGAGAGAAAGAGAGAACCAGCGACCCTACCCTTTGCCCCCACCAGCTGAGGCCCCAGGCTTAAATGTCCTTGCCAAGGTGCCAGTCAGACGTGTGAGTGAGGAATTATAGGTGCTTGAGCCCCACCCACAACCTGACTACAGCTACTGAGAGACCCTAAGTGAGATCAGAAAGAGAACCATCTAACAAAACCTATTTAAAACTTATGGGAGAGCAGATGATGGCTTTTTCTCATGATGGTCTGCGGATGCCACTGTGAGCAGTGCCGATGAGGCCCATGGCTCAGCTGCCGCCCAGAGGAGCACAGTGCCCTTTCAGGAGGTGGGTGTGTCTTCTGCTTTAAGCTTGGTGAGAAAAATTGGATTATTCAAGTATCAAGATCCTCTGAGACGAGTTATCAACCCCTCTCTCAGGGCACCCTCTCCCTAATCCAGGTTCCCATTTCTTTACAACTTTATTCCCCATCCCCTCGACCCCACTGCCTTCCATCCTGTTTGCCTACCTGGGCCACCAGGCTCCTGAGGTTGCCCGGGAGTGCTAAGCAGTCACAGCCACCTACAGGAGAAAAGGAAGGAGAAGGCCAGGACCCATTACCAAAAGAAAAAGCAGCTCCGTGAGGCTACAGACACAGGCTGAAAAGAACAGGGAGAAGAAAACTGACAGATACACAGAGGTCCTCAAGGCTCATGGACTTCTGGACTGAGCCCAATAAAACTGACTGTTAATTCCTCAAAACAAATAAATAAATAAAGCTAATGGGAGAAATAGCATGCAAGCGGTCTTTGAGTTGAGCCCTTGCTGGGGCTTAAGCTGGCTTAGTTCATTTGAATATTCACTCTTTGGAATGACAACTCGCAGAATATATAAAATAATAAAATGGCTGTCTTTTTAAGCCATTAAATATTGGAGTGGTTTGTTCTGTAGCAATATGTAACCAAAATATATGTTAAGGTAGAAATTTAGAGTGAAGACAGGGACTTTTGAATCCACAGAGTGATTTATTTTCAGAGCTGGATTTTCCATTTTATTCAATGGTTTCATAGCTCTAACCAGAGCCGGCCACCTTGTCACACCAAGATACGAATCTGAAATTATTTCATGTGGAAGATTTTTTAGGACACTCCCGACTCCCAGACACTTAAGAATGCTTCTTATTTATTTCTTTTTAAAATTTAAACGTGACCTTCCTTGAGATCCACTGGAAGCTGGAGCAGGGAATGCAGACAAAGGAAGTCTTCTGAGGGGCCCATCGCTGCTGAAAGCATTGAAACTTGTTTCATTTCTGAAAAGCACGAGGCTTTCTGAAGCAGGCCTTCCATCCAGCGAAGGTCTAAAAGAGTAAAGTAACACACGCACACAGGCTCATGAAATCATAATAATAATAAAAACCCTCAGACGCCTTTTTTTTTTTCAGCTGTGAAGCAGCACCTGCCATTAGCTGTGGTGGTTCCTATTTTCATATTGTCTGACAGTAGCAGTTGGATCAGGCTTGAGCCAGTGTGACTGAGAGGCAGGCTCCCTGCTTCCACAAAGCTGAATTTAATAAGATGAGAACAGCATGCCAAGATGGGGAGCTCCCTCCCTAACACTTATCCTGACACCAGCCCCTCAGCGGGGCCGTATTGCCACGGTAATCTGGGTGAGCCGGACAGAGCGTCCTGCTTACAAGTTCAATATAATGGAACAGCAGGGGGCGAAGGGCTGGCAGAAAAGCTTAGCAAAGTTAAAGCCTATTACTCTATGCTTGAGGAAAAATGAGTCACAAAATATTGCACCCAGAGCAAAACTTGAACTTGCCAAATGCAGCAGCAACACACGCTAAGCCTTGTCCATAATGGTGCATTCATTATTCTGTGGTCCAGGGTAATGTGGATTTAAATGTCTTTAACTCTAATGGAAATGTGTATGCAAATTTCCCGTAAGCCCATCCCTCACTCACTTTTCTTTTGCCCTGTTTGAATCTGATAGGCAAGGTGACTGTACGCTACATATGTCAAAGAAAATGATGCCTTTTTAATCTGCCTTTAGTGACAAGAAGAAGGCCAGAAACTGGACAGAAAGAAATCTTTCAGCTGCCTATTAATGGCTTTTGTTGTCGCTGTTTTATGCCTCTTGTCGTGCTGACTTTAAAACGAATGGAAGAAACAGGCAGCAAGTGGTGTCAGGGTTCAGTCCTGTTTGAGGCTTAGGCTGGTTTAGGTAATTTTAAGATCAGCTCTTCCATACATGTGAGCTCTAACACAGACTCTTCAATACTAGTTGATCCAATCAAACTCTTTGATTTGGAACAGATTTGCCTCATATTTCAATCAACCAATGTCCCAGACCCAATCTAGGGCTCTAACTGAAGAACCATTATTTAGTATCCTGAACGTTATTCTGTTCTAGGACTGGGGATTTTTGAAAGAGTAACGATAGAACTAAGAGGGGATTCCTTCTGCTCCCCTGGACTAGCTACAAGTTCTCATTATGACAAAGGCCACTCAGATCATCAGGTACGGTGTCAATGATGGCAGCCACCAATTACTGAGCTCTTACCATGGGCCAGGTGCTTGGTTCGATGCTTTATATTGATTATCTCTAATATTGATGTGGTGGGTTATATATTTTCTCACACTGTTTCTCAAATTTCCAGAAACTTCCGGCTTCTTTACATATAGCTGATCAAATCTTCAGACTTGCCAAATTGTCTTTCATTCCCTTCCAGTTTCAAGTCTATTGGGATGCGTGGTGTCTCTTGGATATATGCTCAGTCTTTTAGATTTCCTTTCCCTTCTTTGCTCCTTTGGAAGATAAGTGTCTGGATCGCATATGTCTAGTGCCAGTGGAGACTGGGGAGTCCAGACCACATGGTAGCTTCTAGATCCCTGCAGGCCTCTGCGTTGGGATGGTTGGTCTTGCCGGCTGCAAGGATTGGTGAGCACCCAGGTCCTAACCGGCTATTAGGAGCTTCTTGCTGTGGTCCGTGACTATTACCTCTTTCCATGAATCCTCACACGTGCAGACTCTGGCCATCCCAAGGAGTAGTCCAGTCCACTTCCTGTCTCTGAACCTTCGTGTCCGTCCCCACATCAGGACACGGAGGTGCATTTGGATTCCGTGCATGCCAGGTGCAGGCCAGGCAAAGCAAGCCCCCTTTCTCATGCTTCTCTCTCCAACTGCTCTGCCGGCAATGGTTTATTTTCATCTCCGTTCCATGAGGACATGGTGCAGAGATAAGTATGGGATTCTTCCTAAGATCTTCGCTATGTCTAGGGGGTAGACCATTCATCTTGATGTTGTGAGGAGGTCTCCTAGACCCTTCTGACCATTTCTGTTATCCTCTTACTTAAGTTGGGGACCAAGAGGGAAGGATATGGGTCTCTCGACACTTGACCTCCTCTCTTTATCTTTTCTAGCTTTCTTCTATTTAACCCGCCTTAGGCCCTGAAACAGGGCTTGCCCAATCATTTTTCTGCCTAGCCACACCCCCTACTTTATACACTGAGTTCTTGCTGCACTAGGACTATCCTATTTAGGTTCCTCGGAAGCAGACAAGGAATCAAATGAAGCTAGTTGATTTGGGAGGGGAAGGAAACACCAAAAGGGAATAGAGAAGTGAGAGAGGGAAGGGAAGGCAATTTGTAAGTGATGCATTATAGGCCAGTTACCACTATGGGCAAATGGACTTGATCCCATAGGGAAAACATGGGTAACAGAATAGAGCACATGTTCAGTTATTCACCCAAGGCTTGAGGAAACTACCACATTAAAATGAAGTTCCTAATCCTCACCAAAGGACGTTTTTTCATTGCTTTTAGAGAGAAGCGAGGGAAGAGAGAAAGGGAGAGAGAGGAACACTGATTGGCTGTCTCCCATATGTGCCACAGATCGGGTCTGGAACTGCAACCCAGGCTTGTGCCCCAACAGGGAATTGAACCTGCAACTTTCCGGTTACAGGATGAGGCTCCAACCAACTGAGCCACACTTGCCAGCATGAAACTGAAGCATTTATACATCATTTCCTGTCACTCATTGGTTGAGGACCACTCCACCTGGGATGAATAAACTGTTCTCATATATATGTACAATGAATATATACAGATGTCAAATAAACATATGAAAAGATGCTCAACACTATGTGTCACCAGGGAAATGCAAATTAAAACAATGAGATACTACTACACACCTATTAGAATGGCAAAAATCCAAAACACCAACAACACAAAATGCTGGTGAAGATGTGTAGTAACACATTCCCATAGCCAGTTGGAATGTGTGATACAGACATGTTGGAAAATAGTTTGGCAGTTCTTTACAAAAACCAAACATATTCTTATCACACATGATCAAGCAATAGCACTTCTTGTTATTTACCTAAACAATTTGAAAACTTATATCCACAAAAACCTGCGCACAAATGTTTATAGCAGTTTTATTAATGATTGTCAAAGTTCAGAACCAAGCAAGAACTCCCTCAGTAGATGAATGGATAGATAAGCCATGGTACATACAGACAATGGATTATTACTCAGCAATAAAAATAAATGTGTTGTGAAGCCATAAAAAGACAGGGAGGAAACATAAATACACATTACTAAGTGAAATAAGCCAAAGGTTACACACTGCATGCATCCAACTATATAATATTCTGCAAAAAGCAAAACACTGGAATCACGCAAGACACTTTCAAAATTACTGATGGCTGGGTCTCCTACCATAGATTTTTGATTTAATAGTAGGTCCAGAGTAAGGCCTGAGCATTGGGGTTTCTTTAAAACTTTCCAGATGACTTTAATGAGAATCCAAGGTGGAGAGTTGTGGACCTAGATGCCTGGTAGATGGCATCTCAAAGTGTGGTCTTAGGTCAGCAGCATCACTATCATCATTAGAAAGGCACAAACTGAGACCCCACCCCAACCTAACTAATGAGAATCTGCTTTTTTAAATAAAATTCCCAGAGGACTCCTGTGCACATTAAAGTTTGAGAAGCCCTGAAACAGAGTCCTTTTACCCAACTAACTTCAGAGGACACATCACCAGGTCAGACCTTTGCCCGACTTGAGTTCCTCCTTCCTAGGACACCGGGATTTGTGACAAACTAAGGAACTCACCACCTCTACCCTTTCCCCAAAGGCAGTGGTTTTTACCTTCTGTTTTGCAGACATGGACCTGAGGAGCCTCCTCTCATTACCCCACCCTTTGCTCCTCCCCATCTTCCAAGACTCAGTTGCAATCTCCAGACACAGCCTTTATCACACCTATTTATTAACACCAAGGCAGCAGACTTGGATTCAAGTAAAGACAGAAGGCAGGACTG